TCATCAGGTGCGATGCTGGGATCGTATCCGTCGTCCTCAAACTCGGCATACTCGTCAGCATAGCATGACATTTCCTCAGCATCACCTGCATCACTTCCAACAGCCACTTCATGTTGATCATCTCTTACCTTAGCTTTCTTACGTTTCTTCATTGATCTCTTGGGTGATTTAACATTGGATCGTCCAACGGAGTCGGAAAGATCTTCAAGTTCATCCCCACTTTCTCCATCAATGACCAAAAGACCTTCACCTTCCGATGTTGAGCATCCATCATCAAGAATTGCCATGATCTTCTCCACACAAGATGATTTCAACTTGATCTTTTCTTGATCGACGCTCACATAGGGAATATAGTCTTTAACAGTCATCTCGATGAAGTTGCCATTTGGATCCAACATGAATGGAGTTCTTCCGGTCGGCCATACAAAAGAGTAACCAAGATCAACGCATCGCTTTCCCATGGAGAGCACGGAGGGTGTGTCCTCCAAGATGTGAGCTTCTGCTGGTTCGCTAAATGCCTCGAACTTGATGCTTGAACGTTTGGTCGAACACGTTACCCCATTTGCTGTATGGAAGTTGACGACCTTGTCATCGTATGTTGGGAGATCCATTCTACTTATCCGTGTGGATGAAATGAGATCATGGCCACTTCCAGAATCCAATATGAATCTCTTATCTCTCTCTTCAACAGGAACAGTGATACACATTGTGTTGCCCCTTTTACCATATCGACCTTCAATATGCTGAACATAGTTTTCCACAAAACTTCCCTGGACACCTCACCGTCCTCGACGTCGAGTCTGATCAGGATGTCCATGCTAGGGCCGACTATGATCAGGACTTCATCAATGTCACTGTGTTCACCCTTCTCATCGATCAGAATAGCCATTGCTTTCCCTCGGCTCGAAGCTAACCTGCATGAATAAGACCATTGCTCATCTTTCCTTATCTGATCAGTGGGCTTGCCAACTTTACCATGACCTTTGGGGACGGTTTGGGATTTCCGGCTGCACTTCACGAAGTCCTTCTTCACGTAAGTTTGAACTTGAGTTTTAGACTCATCAAATCTGATCTTCTTCTTGATCACGTTCGATGCAACCTTATGGAACGTCCCTTCATCATCACTCCAGTCATGGATAAGTGCAGGAGTAGCCTTTGAGCTTGGTGCTTCAGTGTTTGGAGCAGTGTTGAATAGATGAGGATCGTGGCGTTTGTTGCATTTGTCTCCATACCGACACTTGCCCTTAGCCCAATGCCAGCATGGTTCATCAATCTTCTTGGTCTTGTTTGCCGGAGACTGACTTCTTGGAGTTCCTGGCTTCCGACCGTTGCCTTTTGCATTCTTGTTCGCATCAAATACCTTTTGGTCGTGACTGTATTCACAATCCTTGCCTTTTCTGCATGCTTTCTTGATGAAATGGAAATGACATGGGATCTTCTTCTTGGATCTGGGGCTGGTACTTCGGCCGTTTGATCGATCCTTCCCTTTCCCTTGACCTTTTCCTTTTCCTTTTGCATGCTGTTTAGGCTGAGGTGATGGTAGAACTGGAGCTGCATCGGACTTGGCCTTCGCCTTGGGCGCTGCCTTCTCCTTGGGAGTAGCTTTAGGCTTCGCTTTTGGATTTGCATCCGGTGCAGCAGCAGTCGGGTTCGGAGCAGGAGCTGAAGGTTTGCCGCCGCCTGCAAAGTCTCTCGCATACTTCTCTCTGGCTGCCACATGCTTGTCCTCTCTGATTCTGGAGATGTGCCTTTCGATGACATCCAACAGGTAGCGATAATTTCGTCTTTGGTCTCCTTCCATCCATGACTCGTACTGCTTGATGTCGAACATCATAAGACTCGAATTTCGAATCTTCTTGTATAGAGCGTCACGAAGCCAATCATCAGGAGGTATGTCATCCGGCATCATGTTTGATACCATCTCCATCCATTTCTCGTAGAACACTTCTAGGTTCGAGTCACCGAGATACTTCATCGATACGATGTGCTCCATAGTGAAGGATGTTTCTCGTTGACCTGGGGTTCTGAAGTGCTCCAGAATCAAAGCCAAGATTTCCCGTCCCATGACATAGGTTCCTCTTCGGCTATGACTTTGCGTTCTCAATCTCAATTTGATCGCTACATGACGAGCAACATCACCGGCTTGGGCTATCACGTTTGACAATGCAATTGACAACTTGGCGTCGATGGACTGATACCGTTGCCCTCCACTGTCATTCAACAGCTCGATGTCAGGATTTGAGTCGAATAGCCGGCTGTAGCCATGCCTCCCATGCTGCTTTATCCCCGTCATTTGCCGAAAGAACAACACTCTTGATGAGATCTGATTGCCAAACCCCAAGATTCTGTTGCTTTGGCCATGGGCTAACATAGACTTTGTCAGCCTCTCGTCTTGACATTCTTGGTACTTCTTCCGCAGTGTAAGCCGCTGTGGAGACATCATCTGCTGAATCGCGTTGTGATCCTCGAACCGATGGCAAACCAGGAGGTTCAGGAGGTGGTCCTGGACCGTTAGGCCCGAAAGGGTCCGGAGGTCCATCAGGGTCAGGCGGACCGCCCCATCCACTCGGTGGCTTGTAATAGTCCCTCTCAGTTCCGCCAGCGATCTTGTTGTCAACCTCTTTCAGCAGATCAGCGATTCTTTTGCTTGATTGGGAATGCTGTTGTTGTTGAGGAGGTACAGCATGCCCACGATAGGAATGAGCCACATTTGTCTCATAAGTCAACTCCTTGTCGATCTGCGAAACCCAAGATTTCAGAATAGCGTTTTCACAGTTAGCCTCACTCACGTCATTCTCCAGTTTGTCGATGACCAGTCTGGATGCGAGATCGGAGTTGGGAATGCCTGCCGAATAGGGAAGTGTGTCAGGACTGATCCTAGCCATAGATGTTTCAGAATCCTTGAGACTCTTTCTCAGTTCATCTAAGTGACGTTTCATGTCAACAATCTCAGAATTCTTGATGCCAATCTTTTCATCCCTATCCTGGATTTCCCCCATGAACATGCATGATCTCTCATATTGTTGAACACCACTCGCCAATTTTAATTTTCGCTCACTCTCTAGCTCAGACCTTAGAGTTCGGACCTCAGCATTGGTGAGGGACGACGCCCCTACATCCGCAACTTCAGCCAACCTTTCTTTTAACAACAAATTCTCTTGTAAGCATTCATGAACTTCATGATCTAGATCTTGAACCCTGATTTGAGCGATCTTAGCTTGATTACGTAGATCTTCAACAAGCATCTCTTCGGGGCCACGACCGTCGGTCGTAGAACCCTGAGTCAATGATCTTCGTAACTTCGTGTTCTGCAACTTGATCTCATCCTTCAATTCGCAGTTCATCTTCTGCTCGTTGGCATAGAGCTCTTCATAGTGCTCTGCCCTTGCGATCGAGTTTGCACTAGCCTGTGATTCAAGCCTCAGGTGAGATATTGCTTCGGCCTCTTGGTTCCTGTATGATGCAATTCTTTTGACGGTATCATGTTCAGTGTTTCGATGCTTCAGATCACTTTCCAATTTGGCCTGATTTGCCTCGAACACCTTCTTCCTAGACTCTCTAGTGATCTCATCAATACTGCTCTCATACAGCTCGGCCTGTTTACGAGATTGAACCAAGGCTTCACTCAATAGCTGATTTCGCTCAGATAATTCATGAACTGCAATTGATTGTTGCTGGCTAATCACTTCCAGTTGGTTACTAGAGGAGGATGCCATTTCAGATCGATTACGATATTCCATGATTGAGTTCTGGAAATCATTTTGCATTTCTTGGCCTTCATTGTATAGTCGATTGGCAATATCGGTGGTTAAGACATTGGTTTGATGAAGTTGTTGTAGTCTTGCCTCCGTATTACCCAGTAGTCCTTGAAGGTGATGTACTTCATCCTTGTACTCCTCCTGGATCTCCATACCACGTTGATGGATCCGTCGTGCACCATGTTCCATTAGGGCACCTCGGCGTTCAAGGTCTTGGATGCGGATTGTTGCACCTTCATCTTCCTGAGATGCTACCATTAGTTCTGCTTGATATTCTGCAACCTCATTTGCGGAACATGACAATCTATGATTGAGTGCATTGACCTCATCAAATACATTCTGATTGTGTTCCCGAAGATACTCAGTGAACCTGATCTCGATGTCATGAATCAGTTGATCCCTGGATGCAGCGTATGCTTCCATGTTGTTCAGCTGATTACGTAGGGATTGACATTGTGCCCGTAGTTCTTCTATCATGGCAATAGGTTCACTAGCCACAGAAGTATCCGTTGATCTCCTCTTAACACGACTATCCCCGGTCCTCTCACCAATTCGGTCGGTCACGGCCCTGGTGGATCTGTCCCTTGGAGTAGTACGTCCTCGAGATGGTCGATGCCCTTGGCGGACAACATCACTCCGAGCACTGTTTCGAGAAGATCTAGGTGTGCTTTGGGTGGATATTCTTCGTCTGTTTGATGTGACTTGCCATCCGGACTGTGTAGTTCGGGTAGAGCGTATCCCGCCACTGTCTGCCGTGTCGCCAGGGGAAGATTGATTGACCTCCTCGACCGGCATAGCAGCGTTCTCATTGAAGGTAAACTGCGTGGTGCGCGAATCTCCGCTGCCGCCTTGCATCTTTGCGATGATGAGCCGATTGGTCCTTTGCGTCCTCAATCAATTGCTCAGACGGCCCGGCTACCAGCACGCAGGTACCACTCTCCCGGCGGGAGAAGTGAGCCCTACGGCTGATAACCTGTGAACAAATTTGATCCTTGTTCTGGATTATCCCTTTTGATTGTAGTACCGGTTGTGCTGGTAGTGCAGGGCAACGTCACTGCATGGCGTTCGGAGAACGGTCTTTTTCCTCGCGCATGACTTGAGCCAAATGATTGGCAGTCCATGCATAATTGTTTACATGCTCAGCATGTGCAGTTGCTGTATTACCTGGTTCCCTTTCGCACATACATATAAGAAGCTGCAACGAACATCAGCGAACGTCGACAACACAATGCAAATCCTCTCCTGCAGAGTTTGCCCTTGCTGACCTTGTGACCACTGTGACTGCTGCCATTGCTGGTTTGACCTCAGAGACTTTTGCGTTCGCCATTGATATGAGCAAAGCTGTCATTTGCTAGCCAAGATACGGCATCTGCTGTGGTACTGAACCTCAGTCGAACACTACTTATAGTTTGTCACGGCAGCCAATCCAAATGTCTGCAGCTAAGGCAAGGACTGAAATCACAATTCATGATTTAATGAACATGTGTTCACTATAAAACAAGCTAAGCAGGTGCTCTGATCCAGTGGATGAAAGTTTTTGTATGTCTAAAGTCCAAATACCCAAGAAAGAAGAAGAAAGGCAGGGAGATTGAGCTTCCTTGTAAGTTTAGACACTGCAGCCAAGTCACCCTGCTGCATGGGATAGTTGCCATGCTGCAAGCCCTGGAAGTTCCTGTCAACGCGGCGTATACTGGTACGATTCACTGGGCAATGCGGCAATGAGAAACGTCAGTGAAAATCATGAAACACGGGGAACAGATGTTGACACTGAGGCAGGAGCTGCATCTGCTGCTGCATCACCGGTACTGAGCCTTCCAAGAAGGAAGCAGTATCAAAGTGAAACCATTCGTTCAAACAGAATCTATATATATACAGTATATACGTATATATATATAAATCTTAACAGCATGTGACTTAGCCACAAGTGTTGTGGAAAGTGTAAAAGCACGCAAAACACAAAGGTGCTCTTCATATCATACAGCCGTCTTAGCCAATTCATCCAATGATGTCAAATTTGCGAGGGAACGCGACACCACATGCACACAATTCAATCAAGCTCTGGTGCAAAAGTGCCAACAGATTGACAGATATCATTATGATATATCATTGATTATATCATGATACATCATGATATCATGATATATTATGATCATGATTTTGCATCGACATCTGCGAAGTCTCATGTCTTCAACATCTGCAACTTTGCTCGTCGGCTTAGTATGCGCCTTGCTGCATGTTGTAGTTGCCATGCGGCTGTTGTTGGCCCAAGCCCTGGAAGTTCCTCGGAATAGTGCAATTGGAAGTCGGAGCCAACTGTCTCTGATCGACAATCTGCAGAAACCCGGAACTGCAGGGTCTATCAAAGTTCGTGATTGAACTGATTTCCCAACCACACTCAGTGCAAAGAAGTAACTGTGGAAACTGCTGGAAATTGGCTGACTGCTGCGGAAATTTCTGGAAGTTGGTTCCTTGTTGATGCTGCCCTTGCCTTGGCTCCCAAACAGTGTGGCTTGTCGCACTGTCAGGACATCGAGATTACAAGCCTTACAGTGACTTACAGTGTCCATCCTGGAGGACTGGAGGGCAAATTTGCTGAGTGCCGCGTATCGATATCCTGAAATGCTTCGTGCTGAGCCACTGGGACTGTGGAAATGCCCCTTGGGCACCCTGCCTTGGACACATTTGGAACGTTCATGGACTTAGAAATATGAAAAACGACACAGACATTTACAAACCAAACGTTGCAGACTCATTGCAGTATATACAGTATAAGGTATAAGTATATACTTTTTGAGACCTTTTGATCATCGAGATGCACTGACTAACCCACGAGACATTGTCCGGATGCCGTCTGTCGATTGATATCATGCGCTCAACCGTTCAATGATCATGTGTCTTCCTTCTACTTTATTTCTCCTTTAACTCGATACACGCCCCGTGTGGTTCGGGGGGTTGTGAGTACATTCCCAACAAATTATATACTTCACGAAAGAGGATTCTACATATCCTCCCGTGCCACAAGCAACTTGGTCTGAATTTTAGGTTCTAAGAAAAACAGCAAAACAGCAATATTGGACTGCAAAATCCAAATCACGTCAAAGGGGGCCCAACATTGCGAAATGTACGACCAAGCTGCTGGGACGGTTGATTTTGCTGCATTTGCTGGGGATAGGAGCCTTGAGCCTGTGGATTCTGTGATATCCTTGGCAGCCAATGTAACGTGTGACAGCGCAGACAGAGAGAGGAAAACGAAAAAGACACCACCACCGATCAATCGTACTGTATACCCCTTCAATGCAAGCTGTAAACTACAGCCCAAAAAAGTACTACACATTCTACACTATATTTACACACACATCAAAATCAAGGTCCGGGGCATGTTGCAAAATCTCATCTGCTGGTACTCTACCGTGTATCGAGAATGAGTGCTGCTGAGTGGCTGCGATTGCTGGTTTTGTTGCATGGGTTGTGTTGGATAGGGTCCCTGTGTCTGACCACTTTGTTGCCTGGGTACATGAGCAGAATCTGTGCCCAGCTATGGCCAGCTGAGTACACAAGGTTTCAGCCCTTCTCAATTGAAACTTCGTGTCCCTTGACTGCACTCCAATACATGCAGCTGAGGTTACTGTTGCGGAAAGGATCCTTGAGATTGTCCACTTTGTGGCCTAGGTTGAACAAAGCTCACCAAAATCTCACCACCCCCGCACTCTGGATTGTTGGGCAGGAAGAGGAACGGGTTCCTGCAGACTTCTATCTCGCTCTCAAAACTTCCTGATTCCTGCTGCATTGTTACAATATACAAATCGACGCACATTTAGCAGTTTCCTAGGTGACCAACAGTTGCTACAAGTCGAATCTCGGAGTCAATCATCTCACTGTGTGAATGGGCCATTTTGCAGAAATGAATGTGATGAAAAAAGTCCAACAGAACAGCACAATCAATCTGGCTGAATTAAATGAAACAAGCCCATTTTGAAGTGGCTCTTCGTTCTGCCGGCATTTGGGGTGAGACTACCGGACTTAAGACACTCCTGAAGCAATGTGAACAACAGCCAACGCGACTCAGCCCACCGGGTTCACACATGCCAAACCTACACACAAATACACATAGATCTGTATAGATCTATACATGTGTATATATATATAATTATATATACAAGTAGATCCACCACAGTGCAGTATCAATGCAAGATATGCAAGATTTAAAAAAAAAAACAAACTTGAATCGTGGCTCCTGAAAGGTGATAAAGACTACAAAATCAATGTCTGCTACCTGCTCCCATTGCAAAGCTCATCTGCAGGTACACCGTGTATCGAGAATGAGTGCTGCTGAGTGGCTGCGATTGCTGGTTTTGTTGCATGGGTTGTGTTGGATAGGGTCCCTGTGTCTGACCACTTTGTTGCCTGGGTACATGAGCAGAATCTGTGCCCAGCTATGGCCAGCTGAGTACACAAGGTTTCAGCCCTTCTCAATTGAAACTTCGTGTCCCTTGACAGCACTCCAATACATGCAGCTGAGGTTACTGTTGCGGAAAGGATCCTTGAGATTGTCCACTCTGTGGCCTAGGTTGAACAACGCTCTCCAAAATCTCACCCCTAGAATGAGAACGATTTCAAAGGCGGGAATCTTCGAACCTGGAATCCTTTGAATGGTCATTACGCCCGATGCGCATTCACAGACTTTTGAAGACTGGAATTTGGCTTAGAATCTGCACATCTGAGATTTTATACACCTCAAGGATCAATCTAACAAAAATTCCTTGGAACCTCCTAAAGTGAAATAGTCATAACCATAACTCAAAACAATCCTAGAAACGCTTTCAAGCAACGAATCCAGTGGGATTTCGGCACGCAGCCACTCAACCAGCCCACCGCTTTCATCTCGCCCTTGTAGGCCCTTACCCCCCAACCCCGACCCCACCACCCCCTGCAAAACCCTGGAACCGTTCTGCAACCTGGAACCGCTTCTAGAACCCTTCCCGAGCCCACACCTCACACACCCCCGTGCACGTCCGAAAATGTTTGGTGTCACAATACATCCTTTCAGACTCCTTCACAAAGCACAGTGGTGAAGTTGCCAAAAGGCAGCACTAGGGCAAACAAGTCAGCAGTGCAAACACTCAACGATTCTTCGTAGCATAGTTTATCGCAATGCAAACTGAAACCAAGTAACCCAGTTTTGCGAACCAGCAGCAGCAAGTGTTCCAGGTTTCAGGGTTCCAGGGTTCTGTTCTTGTTTTGGATGCGAGCCAGCCAGTCCCACACTCAGAGATTGAAACACAACCATTGCTGTTGAGAACTATGGCAACAAACAAATCAATGCAAATCCGTTGAAAAAAAAACAACCTGTTGCAAAATCTCATCTGCTGGTACTCTACCGTGTATCGAGAATGAGTGCTGCTGAGTGGCTGCGATTGCTGGTTTTGTTGCATGGGTTGTGTTGGATAGGGTCCCTGTGTCTGACCACTTTGTTGCCTGGGTACATGAGCAGAATCTGTGCCCAGCTATGGCCAGCTGAGTACACAAGGTTTCAGCCCTTCTCAATTGAAACTTCGTGTCCCTTGACTGCACTCCAATACATGCAGCTGAGGTTACTGTTGCGGAAAGGATCCTTGAGATTGTCCACTCTGTGGCCTAGGTTGAACAAAGCTCTCCAAAATCTCACCACCCCCGCACTCTGGATTGTTGGGCAGGAAGAGGAACGGGTTCCTGCAGACTTCTATCTCGCTCTCAAAACTTCCTGATTCCTGCTGCATTGTTACAATATACAAATCGACCCACATTTAGCAGTTTCCTAGGTGACCAACAGTTGCTACAAGTCGAATCTCGGAGTCAATCATCTCACTGTGTGAATGGGCCATTTTTCAGAAATGAATGTGATGAAAAAAGTCCAACAGAACAGCACAATCAATCTGGCTGAATTGTGGCTCTTCGTTCTGCCGGCATTTGGGGTGAGACTACCGGACTTAAGACACTCCTGAAGCAATGTGAACAACAGCCAACGCGACTCAGCCCACCAGGTTCACACATGCCAAACCGTACACACAGATACACATAGATCTGTATAGATCTATACATGTGTATATATATATAATTATATATACAAGTAGATCCACCACAGTGCAGTATCAATGCAAGATATGCAAGAATTAAAAAAAAAAACTTGAATCGTGGCTCCTGAAAGGTGATAAACACTTCAAAATCAATGTCTGCTACCTGTTCCGATTGCAAAGCTCATCTGCAGGTACACCGTGTATCGAGAATGAGTGCTGCTGAGTGGCTGCGATTGCTGGTTTTGTTGCATGGGTTGTGTTGGATAGGGTCCCTGTGTCTGACCACTTTGTTGCCTGGGTACATGAGCAGAATCTGTGCCCAGCTATGGCCAGCTGAGTACACAAGGTTTCAGCCCTTCTCAATTGAAACTTCGTGTCCCTTGACTGCACTCCAATACATGCAGCTGAGGTTACTGTTGCGGAAAGGATCCTTGAGATTGTCCACTCTGTGGCCTAGGTTGAACAAAGCTCTCCAAAATCTCACCACCCCCGCACTCTGGATTGTTGGGCAGGAAGAGGAACGGGTTCCTGCAGACTTCTATCTCGCTCTCAAAACTTCCTGATTCCTGCTGCATTGTTACAATATACTAATATACAAATCGACGCACATTTAGCAGTTTCCTAGGTGACCAACAGTTGCTACAAGTCGAATCTCGGAGTCAATCATCTCACTGTGTGAATGGGCCATTTTTCAGAAATGAATGTGATGAAAAAAGTCCAACAGAACAGCACAATCAATCTGGCTGAATTGTGGCTCTTCGTTCTGCCGGCATTTGGGGTGAGACTACCGGACTTAAGACACTCCTGAAGCAATGTGAACAACAGCCAACGCAACTCAGCCCACCGGGTTCACACATGCCAAACCGTACACACAGATACACATAGATCTATATAGATCTATACATGTGTATATATATATAATTATATATACAAGTAGATCCACCACAGTGCAGTATCAATGCAAGATATGCAAGAATTTTTTTTTTAAAAAAAAAAGAAAAACGATAACTTGAATCGTGGCTCCTGAAAGGTGATAAAGACTTCAAAATCAATGTCTGCTACCTGCTCCCATTGCAAAGCTCATCTGCAGGTACACCGTGTATCGAGAATGAGTGCTGCTGAGTGGCTGCGATTGCTGGTTTTGTTGCATGGGTTGTGTTGGATAGGGTCCCTGTGTCTGACCACTTTGTTGCCTGGGTACATGAGCAGAATCTGTGCCCAGCTATGGCCAGCTGAGTACACAAGGTTTCAGCCCTTCTCAATTGAAACTTCGTGTCCCTTGACAGCACTCCAATACATGCAGCTGAGGTTACTGTTGCGGAAAGGATCCTTGAGATTGTCCACTCTGTGGCCTAGGTTGAACAAAGCTCTCCAAAATCTCACCACCCCCGCACTCTGGATTGTTGGGCAGGAAGAGGAACGAGTTCCTGCAGACTTCTATCTCGCTCTCAAAACTTCCTGATTCCTGCTGCATTGTTACAATATACTAATATACAAATCGACGCACATTTAGCAGTTTCCTAGGTGACCAACAGTTGCTACAAGTCGAATCTCGGAGTCAATCATCTCACTGTGTGAATGGGCCATTTTGCAGAAATGAATGTGATGAAAAAAGTCCAACAGAACAGCACAATCAATCTGGCTGAATTGTGGCTCTTCGTTCTGCCGGCATTTGGGGTGAGACTACCGGACTTAAGACACTCCTGAAGCAATGTGAACAACAGCCAACGCGACTCAGCCCACCGGGTTCACACATGCCAAACCGTACACACAGATACACATAGATCTGTATAGATCTATACATGTGTATATATATAATTATATATACAAGTAGATCCACCACAGTGCAGTATCAATGCAAGATATGCAAGAATTAAAAAAAAAAACTTGAATCGTGGCTCCTGAAAGGTGATAAACACTTCAAAATCAATGTCTGCTACCTGTTCCGATTGCAAAGCTCATCTGCAGGTACACCGTGTATCGAGAATGAGTGCTGCTGAGTGGCTGCGATTGCTGGTTTTGTTGCATGGGTTGTGTTGGATAGGGTCCCTGTGTCTGACCACTTTGTTGCCTGGGTACATGAGCAGAATCTGTGCCCAGCTATGGCCAGCTGAGTACACAAGGTTTCAGCCCTTCTCAATTGAAACTTCGTGTCCCTTGACAGCACTCCAATACATGCAGCTGAGGTTACTGTTGCGGAAAGGATCCTTGAGATTGTCCACTCTGTGGCCTAGGTTGAACAACGCTCTCCAAAATCTCACCCCTAGAATGAGAACGATTTCAAAGGCGGGAATCTTCGAACCTGGAATCCTTTGAATGGTCATTACGCCCGATGCGCATTCACAGACTTTTGAAGACTGGAATTTGGCTTAGAATCTGCACATCTGAGATTTTATACACCTCAAGGATCAATCTAACAAAAATTCCTTGGAACCTCCTAAAGTGAAATAGTCATAACCATAACTCAAAACAATCCTAGAAACGCTTTCAAGCAACGAATCCAGTGGGATTTCGGCACGCAGCCACTCAACCAGCCCACCGCTTTCATCTCGCCCTTGTAGGCCCTTACCCCCCAACCCCGACCCCACCACCCCCTGCAAAACCCTGGAACCGTTCTGCAACCTGGAACCGCTTCTAGAACCCTTCCCGAGCCCACACCTCACACACCCCCGTGCACGTCCGAAAATGTTTGGTGTCACAATACATCCTTTCAGACTCCTTCACAAAGCACAGTGGTGAAGTTGCCAAAAGGCAGCACTAGGGCAAACAAGCCAGCAGTGCAAACACTCAACGATTCTTCGTAGCATAGTTTATCGCAATGCAAACTGAAACCAAGTAACCCAGTTTTGCAAACCAGCAGCAGCAAGTGTTCCAGGTTTCAGGGTTCCAGGGTTCTGTTCTTGTTTTGGATGCGAGCCAGCCAGTCCCACACTCAGAGATTGAAACACAACCATTGCTGTTGAGAACTATGGCAACAAACAAATCAATGCAAATCCGTTGAAAAAAAAAACAACCTGTTGCAAAATCTCATCTGCTGGTACTCTACCGTGTATCGAGAATGAGTGCTGCTGAGTGGCTGCGATTGCTGGTTTTGTTGCATGGGTTGTGTTGGATAGGGTCCCTGTGTCTGACCACTTTGTTGCCTGGGTACATGAGCAGAATCTGTGCCCAGCTATGGCCAGCTGAGTACACAAGGTTTCAGCCCTTCTCAATTGAAACTTCGTGTCCCTTGACTGCACTCCAATACATGCAGCTGAGGTTACTGTTGCGGAAAGGATCCTTGAGATTGTGTCCTTGATTGCGAATCTCATCTACATGCTGAATTATGATCGCGCACAGTGCATGGTCGCAGCCCCTAATCTCAAATAAGCGAAGCACACCAAAGCATGTCAATTCAATTGGCTTCTTTTGCAGGCATGCAACGACTGCAAGTGCTGCTGGAAGTGAGGTGCTTGATTCGCGTTTTGCCTACACCGAAGTAAGTGCAGACCGGATGTGATGGACAAAAACCGGCGAACCGTCGAATCGAAAGTGACTTGTGCAAAACACATGACGGCGCTGTGACACCAAGCTACTGCATGTGCCCTTGGCCATGAGAAGGTTGCCTTGAAGAAATACCAGGCCTCAGTGTCCATCTTTGGATGGCATAGGTATTGGAAAGGCTGAATTATGTGCTGAATTGGAAACATGGCACATGTGCCGTCGAAATTAAAAGCAACGCCAAGGTATTCAGTCAAGAAGCTGTTGCTGAGGCTGCCTGGTTCCAAGAAATGTGTGGTTAAAGCATGCAGTGGCTTCCATTGAAGGTTTTGCAATTCTTCAAGAACTCTAGAAATGGTGTTGCTAGACTCTATGAACAAAAGCAGCATGAATGTGAGCTAGTGACAACATCATATTGGCCAAAAAGGAGAGTTCATGTTATACAACTGCGACTGAATCTGTCCCCTTGTATGCCTCAATACCGCGCAATATTGTCAGCTTTACACGTCCTATGAGTCAAATTGCTGATAAAAATCCTGATACGACTGTCCCAGGATGTCCCAGGATGTCCCAGGATGTCCCAGGATGTCCCAGGCACATTGGCAGGTTTGCATTGTGAGCATCTTTGGATGTAGCGCGTGGCGTGTTCGGCCTTGGCACAATCTGGCACCAGAACCAACATGTGTCAGACCAGATGGTGTGGAAAGACTCTGTGCATTGAGGTCTTACCACTGAGTCTGTGGCTGTGATTTGAGTGGCTCCGTCTTAGGCGGAGACCTTAGCGCTTTGCATTTCATCATGGATGCAAAATTTTGCTTCGCAGGGGGCAAGGTATGGCAAGGTATGAAAAGTTGTAACACGTCTGGACCCAAGAGCAATGTCTCACCTTCACAGCGCAGCACCCTTTGCAGAAACGAAAAATGCAAATGGCTCTTCTCAGCCTATCTTTGGGCAAACTTTTTGCAGTATCTGATCTGTGCACAGCTCACAATACTGTGTTGTGTTATACTCCAAAGTTCTCAGCTCACACTTCACCCTACCTTGGCTACCCTGCGACTGTGCCATCGAATTGTTGCTCCCAGCAGTCGACTGCAAAGCTTTGTTTTGTAGCTACACTTGGAGACGAGAACTAGGAAGCAAGCCTCTGCTGAGTCTACTCCCTCTTGGCATTCATTTCAAAATGTAACTGATCTTGAAACGGAGTGCTTCACTTCTGCAGCAAACCCAAAGGAAAGGGAGCTATAAAGCGCATCACTTTCAGGATTTCTAGGCTTTGGATCAAGAAGCATCGATGTGACTGTCAACAACCAACGAATAAATTGTGCGGAGAACTTCCAGAAATGTCAGATATGGCCTGCTGGGAAGCTCTACTGGACGCCTGACCTGCAAAATTATGGTCTTCTGACATCTTCTGACTGCAAATCACTTCGACAGTAGCTCGTAGCATCTCAGACCTGCCAGCGCTGTTCCATTCGAGGTAGTTGTCTCGGCTGTAGATGCCTTACCTGGGTGCGGCGCAAATCTTCTTGTTTCTCTCAAACGCTCATATCTTCCTTCCAGTGGGACGAGGATGTCGAAGTCTTTCCAGTCTGCAGACTGGACAAAGTTCGTCTTTACAAGTTACAAGCGTGCAATCTGTAGAGTGCACGATTCTAGATGTCTGGACATCTCAGTAAATGGATTGATAGTTGACATATGCAAACATGTGCATGTGCCTGTTGCAAGCCGAGGGCACTAGCTCTACAATAAGTTTTTCACAGATGACATGTTGACGTCGTTTAAAATCAATGTTGACGTCGTTTAAAATCAACACATGCTGCTCACATGCTTATCAAATGCCCAGTGCCCCACCTTTTGAAGTAGCTGTGTCTGCCGTCGAAACCGTGGTCTTGCCTCAGTAATCAGCAATAGAAATCCATCCCCAGATTTTGAAGGAAATCGTCTCCAGGCATCAGACCAGCCGCACTGACTGCACCAAGGTTTACTTGGCAAGCGTCCATCATGTTTTTGTACCTAGACAATCAGAAATGTTTTTTGTTTAGCAGTGGATTGTGTTCGATCTTTCGGACAGGGCGTGGCTGCATTGGACAGCGTAGCATCATGCAAACTGACAAGAATGCAGTAAACACCCAAACATAGGGCACGTTTCAGAACTTTCAAAGTTTCTGTGCTCCTTTCGCTGCAGCTTCTCCTTGATTGGCTGGCAAAAGCAATTGGACCATGATAGACGAAAACAAAGCCCATAGCTGACACAATAGAAGAAGCATGCAAAATCGTTCTTCCTCTGGAGCGCAAAGATGGGGAAAAAGGGCATGGTGCCAAATGCACATGGCACGTTTAGGGGCAATATATCAGCAATGCGAAAGATGAGAAAATGATAAGCCGAGACAGAGAAGAACGAAGAGCAGCGCCAAGCCAGACGAATCCAGCTTGGATCTCTTGAAGGTCAGGGCACTAGACAGAAGCAGGGTCTCTCTGCTCACATTGGTGGAGGTTCGGAGCCCAGTGAGTAGTGCTGTATGAGAATGGTGTTTTCTGCAGATCTGGGTATGTTTTCGCAAGGCACCATGACACAGAAAGTCCTGATCGGAATTCCAGCAAATCCTTGGCCCTTGTCAAATCATTGCCGGATGCTTGACACTAAGATGTATTCAACAACTGCAAAGCCTTGCATTCCCTGTCCTGTTGTCTATTCAGCTGATCTTTGAGCCGATCTTCTTTCTTCTTGGCTTCCTCAACTGCTGAGAAAACTCAACTTCTTCGGAGTTAGCGCTGCATTTCTGCCGCGGACACGACTACTTTCACGTCTTGCTTGATTCTACAGCAACATTTGATAAGATTTGCATCGATTGCGAGTTTGTGTGTGTGTACGTGTGTTTGTGTTCCTAACACCAAAAGCATATGTTTACATCTTTGCAACTTGCATGCTTCCTACGCAGGCCAGCCTTTTCATCTTTCTTTTTCACCTCATCAGCAAGCTTGTCCCAAATCTTTGCATCCACAACCTTGCAATGTGCCGGTTCAACTTCCCATGCTATCACAAGTTGATGTGACAAAAGTCACCTACTTTTGGATTTGTCAGATTCGGCCATGTTCTGGCGTTACAACTAGTTGATTTGGGGACATGCGTCATATGCCACTGTGGTTCGCATCTGGCGAGCACGGTAGCAAAGCTTGAGTTTGTTGGCCTGAATTATTGCCGCAGCATCTGACATGAAATACTGCACAAAGAACCAATTGCAAAGTTGGCAAAAAGTCTGCAAAGACTGAGCATTCTGCGCCCTTCTCATTCTGTATGTTGTGGTAGCTTCGGAAGAGCTCAACTGCTTCTATCGTCTGCTTGCACCTATTGTTTGAGCAGCCTACAAATGTCCAACCCCCAAATGCTGCATCCTTTCCAACTTGCTTAGCAGTCTATAGATAAATACAGATCCTGAATTTCCCCAGAGTAATTTACTGTACACTCTCTCAGGTTTGCCTTTAGTTTCACAATGGTTGGCCTTCGTAGGGGTTCTGGACCTGCCTTGTTAGGTTTTTGTCATATTTCCATTTCTATTGGGTTTTGATTCTGTTTCATACATGGAAAGCACATCCAAGCTGTGGACCAGTCTCCCAAGACAGGGAAGTAGTCCTACGGCTCCGGCGAGGTGTAGAAGGCGAAATTAATTACAGCATAACCCGTCAAACCTCTGGAGCAAAAAGGGCAAAAAAATAGATTCGTGGTAAAGTGAGTTGGCCCAGTTGGCAAACTGATCTTTTGTAGTGCTCTGGATGTTGCTGATGCCAAAAAGCGGTTCCAAAGCGAGAAACAGTTCCTGCCTCAGTAACTTTAGGGATGAGGTATGCAAGACTCCTCACATCTGGAAGTGATAGGTGGCGATCTTAGCGAATTCTACACATGAATCATATGAAGGCGTCAAATGAATACATGCTGCATTGCTTAGTCTGCTTGGCATTGCCGTTGGAATCCTTTGAAGTAGCAAGATCGCATCTCGCTGCTCCCGGAGAATCACCTCATCGACTCCTGCACAAGAGCAAGTATAAAAAGTCGAGGTGACAAAAGGATACAGCAATGTACAAAAAGTGGTGCAGTGTATCGGTGGCAATGATCATCGTAAAGCGATGTTAAAATATGAAAGACCCTTATTTCGTGCAGAAATCACTGCCTGGGAAACATCGCAAACTCTTTTAGCCCGTTCCTGAAGGTGATTCGCCAGCCAACATCCGCATTGAATCATCAGAATCATCTTCTTCTTCTTCTTCATCTTCATCTTCATCTTCCATCATCATCATCATCATCACCACCATCATCATCATCATCATCACCATCATCATCCATCATCATCCATCATCATCCATCATCATCCATCATCATCATCATCATCATCATCATTTTATTCTTCTTCTTTTTCTTCTTCTTCTTCTTATTATCATTATTATTATTATTATTATTCTTTTTCTTCTTGTTCTTCTTCTTCTTCTTATTATCATTATTATTATTATTATTCTTTTTCTTCTTGTTCTTCTTCTTCTTCTTCTTCTGCTTCTTCTTCTTCTTCTTCAAACACCATCATCATCATCATCATCATCATCATCGTCTTATTCTTCCATCATCATCCATCATCATAATCCATCATCATCATCATCATCATGATAATCATCATCGGTCACCGGTCATCATCATCTTCTTTTTCTTCTTCATCATCATCATCCAGCATCCAGCATCCAGCTTCCAGCTTCCAGCATCATCAATCAATCTATCTATCAATCAAATCAAAATCAAATCAAATCAAATCAACCAACCAACCAACCAACCAACCAACCATCATGCGAAGTCCTTTCTCCGAATTCGTCTTGGAGATGTCCGACGAGAGTTGTATTCTTTTCGCAGCAGGCCAGCCCAGGCTGTGCCAATTCACCTTCCTCATCGACGGAAGAACTCAAAAATGTGATCTATCATGATCTATTTTATTCTTTGGTATTCTCTTCTACAACAGGGGCCATCCTGAGCCCTTTCTGCAATTTTATAAGTTTGGGGTCTCCGAAGCTCTGCATCCAATCTATTTTTCAGTGACCTGGGTGCCCAACGAGTCCTCAACATCTGTCAGTTCTTTGTCTTTTGACCTGAGACAACGCTTCGCTTCTGGACTTGCTTCTGGACTATATAAAGCCTTGAAGTTCCAAATCAAGATCTGGCCAGTGTCAGTTTGTGTCAGTTTACAAACCTTATAAAACCTCACTGACAGCGGGCACTTCAGTGTAAACAGGCCTCACTGACACCCTCAACCAAATGTTAGCCGTGAACCAGTCGAACTGTCGGAAAACAGAGAGTCCACTGCGGCCAAGAGTCTGAACAGTCTGTTGCCTTGGCTTGCCAAAATTGAAACACGGGCAATGGCTTGCAAGGACCGAGGACAAAAGTTGGAAAAAACATGAAACGACAGCCTGGTCGAAAAGCTGCGGCTAACGACAAAATGCCAGGTCTATCCAGGTCTGAAGTTGCTTGCAGCAAACGGATTCGCTGGGCATCAAACGCAAAGCCGTCTGAGTGAGAAACACCAGCGCCTAAAAGGGCTTTTGTATGCTCTTGTCTCAGAGTTGTTTCACTCGTAGATTTCCAACAAAAATCCATTCAAGAATGAAAGCACTTGAATCAAAGTTTCTGTGCTGTGCTTACAACATACGAGTGGTGAGTCATCTCGAGAGCATCTCGCCTTCCTCACGAGCAGAACTTGTTGCCTGCCGAAAGCAAATTGCTTTGCCGAGTGAAGACAACTGGTTCATCAATGTCCATCATACTTCAGTGTTGAAATATCTCGAAACTTGAGAGGGATCATTGTTCACTGTATCAATTATTGTCAATATAATATCTCATAGCTACACTCACGACCCACAGCTTGATGTGAGACGGTGAGTGACACTCTTTGTTGGTGGTAGCGCTGTGCTTTTCTCCTAGTTCCCACGGACACAAGTGTCGGTCCTGTAGTTCAATCTAGATTGTTGGAAAGCACGGTGAGTGCTCAGAGACGTTGCGAATGGATGCGAATGGATTAAATGGTTTGCTTCGCGAAACAGTGCTGTGAGATGATCCCTTTGCAATGCCTGTGGAACTCCTGCGTGCATGGCAAAGGCGGCGGTATGTACAGAGCCCATGCCAGCCTGTGTCTGAGTAAATGACAAAGTTGCAACAAGGAATTGAAGACTCAGGCAGAGCGTTTCGACACGTGTTCAGTGTTTGATGTGTTTGTAATAATCCCACAGATCTCAAAGCAATGTGATGTGAGCTGGGGACCACTATCCGTCTTTCCACTTCCACATATCTGCGACAGACTTCGATCTGGCCTCAACCCCGATGAGATCTTTGCATCGGTTCATCACAGCATGCTCGATGTCTATTGTGAGCTTCTCGAAGCCCATGCCCTTGTCCACACTCCTGGAATAGATTTTGGTAGGTGCATAGTAGGTGCAGAGGGTTTACTATTTCAACCCCAAAGGTCGGGGGTTATTGTTGTTTGGTAGCTATGGTAACGACTCTTTGGGACCCACAGCCCCATCAGTCCCGTCACCAAAAAGGCAAAAGGCTGCAAGGAGCACCTGGAATAGAGCAGAAGAGAGTCAAGGAAAAAAATCTAAGGTCCCGGCATTCTCATTTCACTCTCATGTTACTTGATGCGAACTTGGTTTGGAAACGGAACCTTCATCCAGAATTTGGTGCACATGCGATGCATCCTGGGGTTGCTACGTTGTCTTTGGTTTTGTCAAAGTCGAATCTTATCTCTTGAGGAATGCCCTTGGCACCAGATCATAATGATCCTGAAAGAAGAATCTCTCAGTGGGCAATTGTTATGATTGCCCAGTAATCCTTAAATATTTATTTTACACATTTAATACAAATTGAATACACATTCAAAAATGGCAACTTCAGTTTGCCGATAAGAACATCTACATGTTCAGATATCTCATGAAAAGCAGAAGTTGCAAAAAAAGAAAAAATGAGTAAAACAACTGTCAAGTGTAAAACAAAAACCAAAAACATGCAAAGCACAGGGAAAAGTGCTTTCCAAAATGTTTTGAAAGGAAACGGAAGCTAACAACAAGGGTAAAACAAATGTGCAAAAGTGTTAAAGCGAAAAAGGTAATCTGAAACAGTTGTGAAAAAAAAACAGCATGTAGTCAAAGTGCGATTAAAGTGTGATGAAAAAAAACTCGAGTATGCTTTTCTTACACTCTTCAATTTGTATTTTCACGTTCACGTTTTTTCACTCGTTATCACTCTTGTTTCATATTTACATGTCCAAATGTCTCAGGTTCCCTTGATACAGTTTTACAAATGAAAAGTGAGATTGGATGTTGGCAGCTTCAAACATGCGTAAATAAAATGTAAAAGTGCTACATCAAATTTGCGAGTGCAAAAAAGGTATGAGGTCTAATTGTATCTAATTGTATATATATATATTGGATAGTAAAAAATAGTTACATGTGTTTCGATCACATGGCCATTCTCAAGGGTAAATCCAAGCATGGCATCTAGAAATATAGCTTTGAAGATCTTTGAAGTGTGTATTGAAACCATGCAAACAACTTGGCACAGGGCTCGTGAGTTCTTGGCATTGATGACGCACTGCGCGGAAGGTGTGCAGAATGAAAACATCAAGCCCATCGTTTCCATTGTGATGTGTTGATCAGAATCATTTCTGTGTGCACTCAATGGCATTTGCTGTATCCAGATATCCCAATCCCCGGATTTGTGTTTCAAAAGTTTCAAGGTGTGTCATGCAGCTCAAATGCGTGTTTCCTTTCCAACTCGGAATTTGCCTCCGTGATCACATCCGCGCGCACCGCTTGTAAGCAAGCTATGAAATGATGCTCTGAGTTGCTGATGTGATCACTGGAGGACCTGAGGAGACACCCGACAAGAATTCACAAGAACTGAAAGTCGACTAAGTCCTGATTCAAAAGAATTCATACGTATATAATAATTCTAATAATTCTAATGAACATATTATGAAAATTCTACTGCTGCACATAGGACATAGGAGCTTTTGCCAACTGAGTGCTTTGCAAGCTTGCTGGTAGGTACTCCTGCAAGCAATATTGTGTAGGGCTGGCCAAGCATTGCCAAGGCGTAGAGGGAGCCCTAGTGGAACACCAATTCAAGGTACCTTTGAAGTCTTTCAATAAGAAAACATTGGCCTGTTACAAACCAATGAAACTGTCCCCAAAAAAGGACTGGTGATCTTGCTTGTACTGGTTTGCGGCGGTACTTCGCAAAACTTGTGTTTTGCGAACTATGCTCCCGGCACTCATGGGTGTGAATTCTCTGTTCCTGGTATGAATCATCCTGGAGTACCCTTATCCGATAAGTTTCTTGCATCTCTCTTTTCTCAAAACAGTTCTCAGCGACCTTGCATCTGTCATAGGTTTTGGTAGCTAGGTCAGGTCCAGAAAATTAACTTGTATGATTTTGAGGCATTCGCCGGAGTTTTACACTTTTTGCGGTAGTTTAGAAAGTAATTTTGTTGTTAATTGAATTCGAAAGTTAGTGGAACTTGAAATAAGATCGTAGTTCATGCAGAGGCCTTGTAACCCCAACATCTTCAAGTCATCGGTGTTATATGAATTTCTAAGGTTTTAGCATATACAAGGAGGAGTTTTGATCCATTTGATCCATATACAAAGTTTGTCACTTTTGTGGAAACCCGTGAAAATCCCGGGATTCGGGGGTTCCAGGACCCAGGATGTTTGTTTTTGATGGCTTGCATTCTCATAAAGACTTTGGCTAGAAGCCAAGCATTGTGTCCCACACGCACCCCGGACTGCATCTGGCCCGTTTCTTCCTCCTGATGTCGGCCTCCTAGCTCGGGTCGCCTTAGATCCGCTTCGGCTTCCTCTGAGAGAAATTATGATATGAAACAAAGGGCGCCAATGACGCCTCAGAAAACACGTGGGTTGCTGATTTGGAGGTGAAAACGCTGGATGCCAAGTCACATGTCTCTCAGTCCTCAGTGCCACTAAGCTTGGAGCTTCAGTGAATGGCTGTTGGTTCCATCAGCGACGGAGCCTACGGTTCAGCGCTTTGTTACATTTTGTTACCAGGTTTGCGGAGTTTGCAATGGGTGATTTAGCTGCTTAGCTTGTCCCAACGATCTGCGTGGAGAGATAAAATATATTAAAATGATATCAGGGACATTCAGTGACAAAAATGGACGTGGACTGTCCATTGAGCATGTAGTGACTGTCGTGATGCAATGGCGTGGCGTGGGAGTGCTCGCCTACTTCTGATGGTGCACAAACAGACACGGAGTCCTGAGGCTCCACCTGCATCCACAGAATCCCTCAGAGTCCATCAGAGTCCATCAGAGTCCATTCTCCAGAGTCATACCATATATTATCCATATATTATCCATATATTAACCATACATTAACCATATATTAACACATACTAACACATATCATATGACAAGAATTCTACAAGTTCTGCTTTTAGATCTCTAAAAGTCAATTTATGTCAATTTGTTGCCCCTCTCTGCCGGAAGTGGCAGGCTGTCACATCCAAGAAACTATAGTACATTATAATCCCCTTGTGGTGCACCCAGATGGGGTAGAACCCCTGAAAAATAAAATGAAATCAAGGGTACCCAGGCTACTGACCCCCAAAATGCAAAAATGAGGTCGGGGGAGTTCAACCCCACATGTTGCGCAAAGAGAAAATCATCAGTCATCCAACTGAGGGGTTTGCAAAAATAAAATCAAGAGGTTCCAGAAATAAAATCAAGAAGGTTCCAGGCCGGCGTCCAAAATGTTCCAGAAATAAAACTGAAGGGTTCAAGGTCAGCATCTGCGTTTGTGAAATCATCTGAAATCTCAACAAAATCTATCAAATATTGAATCCAAACATATCCAAACCCAGATTTTAAATATGTATTTCAAGCTTTGTAGAAGCAGAATGGTGTAATCAGGTAATCACAATCCATAGTTTTTTTTCTTTTTTGTGGCGTGTTCTGGCTGCATCCTTTTCTGCCCAAACAACAGTGACCCACCAAACAAAGCATAGATTCAGTATATTCCAACCATATTACCCAACAAAATTCTACAAGCTTGGGAACCTTGGATTTTATTTTCCCCAAAATCTATCAAATATTGAATCCAAACATATCCAAACCCAGATTTTAAATATGTATTTCAAGCTTTGTAGAAGCAGAATGGTGTAATCAGGTAATCACAATCCATAGTTTTTTTCTTTTTTGTGGCGTGTTCTGGCTGCATCCTTTTCTGCCCAAACAACAGTGACCCACCAAACAAAGCATAGATTCAATATATTCCAACCATACTACCCAACAAAATTCTACAAGCTTGGGAACCTTGGATGTTTTTTTCCCAAAATCTATCAAATATTGAATCCAAACATATCCAAACCCAAGAGATGTGTATTCCACAAAAAAAAAGGTAAGCACAACGCAAAAATAAAATCCAAAGGGACCCAACCTAAAGCTACTCCACCAGCTGCATTGGGGTTGGTTCTTGGTCTTGGCCCATGTCCCAAAAATAAAATCATAGGGGTCTGACTTACTCAAAACTTATGATAGGCACCTTTTGAAAAATAAATCCAAAAATATTTCAGGCTCAAGCCCTATGATTTTATTTTTGAACACCGCTTAGGGATCATTATAGTACTATAGTACTCATCTCAGCACAATTTTCTTCTTCCCGTTTACAACTTAGCAAAACGCATGCCGGGAAGGCCTCAATCATTGTTGTTGCTGCTGCCAACGTCGGATTCTGACGTTTGGAGTCAAGCTCAAGATTCGAACATTGAATTTGTCATGTCAAGTGCTGAAATGTGCGGTAAAGGCCAGATTTGATTCATCTGAAATAGGCACATCTCTTGTTTTATCTAAAAAATGTGTTCAACTTGCTAGGCCAAAGAACTTGCTTGGTTTTGGCTTCAAAGTTTGAGAGAGCAACAATACGCAATGCTTTGCTGTACAACTCCGGCCTCGCACTCCTCCTCCTCCGGCTCCGGCTCTTCAATCGTATTTTGAGGAAGCATTGGCTCGTTTGGCCCCTGCCAGTCTACGTCTTCTGCAGCAGGCGGGGCAATGCGTTGGTCAACTCGTTGCTGTACTCGCTCGGGTGCTCGTTCTGTCTCTCCGGACACATGTCGCTGCCTTGCAAGGCGAGAATGCAGCTTCCTTCGAATGCTGCGCAACTAGAACTGCTAGCACCTCCTGAGACGCTGGATCATTGCAAGACAATTGACTTTCGGTCCTTTAGGTGTAAATCTATATGAAAAAATGTTGAAGGAAGGCAGGAATGCCAAGTCGATCCTGCTCAGCCCTTTCGCTTCCCCCACGAAGAAAAAATGTTTGCCCCTCACAACCAACGTCACAGTGTGCAACACCAGAACAGAACCGCACGATCTAAAAGCCTTCAGAATTCATTCTGAAAATTGATCTAAACCTCAATGGACTGTTAAGTCGAGGTCACGGTTGTATTCGGAAAGTGCGAGTTGCATTTTCAAGGCAATACTGCTAAGCAAAACGTGCTCCCAAACTTGCGAAGAAACTTCAAGGCTTGTGAATTGTGAAAATAATGACAAAAGGTCTCAGACATAGCATACCCTGAAACCCCAACGTGTGCCACATAGTGTGCCATATGGCGTGCCACATAGTATCTGAGAGCCCCACGCTTGTGCCTCGGTCTGGGCTGGTGCGAACTAGCAACTCGCAGAAAAAAAAAAAACAGACAGCACAATGAGAAACAACAGTAGAAGAAGGTTCTGTCTTGGAGATCAATATTGTGTCTGATTCGGGGCATTAACGACCTTGGGCCGCTATCCAACGCACAGCCCAAAGCTGCCACTCAGTGCATCAAAGAAACTGAAGGCAGCGAAGCTGCTGAATTGAGCGAAGGTATCGCAGGGACAGCTTCAGCGGCAGCCTGGGAAATACGTAGCTTTCAGCACAACCAGCGAAACTTGCGAATGTGACCCCACGTGACCCTACCTACATGATCCCACAGATTGGCAGACATTTCTGAGCAAAAAAACAGCAGGGACTACTGCAGAATCAGTGATGTGCATCTGGGTATACTTTGCTATCGGGGCCATTCAAGGCGTTGGCCGGCACTGAAGGAACTGCAGATGAAGAAGCACTTGCAACTTCTGGTGTTGCCGCAGGGGCTTCTACCTAGGAACAGAATTTGGAGTGCGAAGGAAAATCTTCTGGGTGTTTGTACAACAAGAGGTGAGAGTGGAATTCCAGACCCGGCGGCCTAATTGTGTGCCCTCACTCAATGCATCGAAGTTACTGAAGGCAGCGAAGCTGCTGAATTGAGCGAAGGTATCGCAGGGACAGCTTCAGCGGCAGCCTGGGAAATATGTAGCTTTCAGCACAACCAGCGAAACTTGCGAATGTGACCCCACGTGACCCTACCTACATGATCCCACAGATTGGCAGACATTTCTGAGCAAAAAAACAGCAGGGACTACTCAGTGATGTGCATCTGGGTATACTTTGCTATCGGGGCCATTTAAGGCGTTGGCCGGCACTGAAAGAACTGCAGAGGAAGAAGCACTTGCAACTTCTGGTGATGCAGCAGGGGCTTCTACCTAGGAACACAATTTGGAGTGCTAAGGCTGCTAAGGAAATCTGCTGGGTGTTTGTACAACAAAAGGTCAGAGTGGACCTAATTGTGTGCCCTCACTCAATGCATCGAAGTTACTGAAGGCAGCGAAGCTGCTGAATTGAGCGAAGGTATCGCAGGGACAGCTTCAGCGGCAGCCTGGGAAATATGTAGCTTTCAGCACAACCAGCGAAACTTGCGAATGTGACCCCACGTGACCCTACCTACATGATCCCACAGATTGGCAGACATTTCTGAGCAAAAAAAACAGCAGGGACACTGCAGAATCAGTGATGTGCATCTGGGTATACTTTGCTATCGGGGCCATTTAAGGCGTTGGCCGGCACTGAAGGAACTGCAGATGAAGAAGCACTTGCAACTTCTGGTGTTGCCTCAAGATAAGGTTTTGCATGTGCCCATCTCGGCTCAATGTCGGAGCATGTGCCGGCCAAGCAATGGAAGAACTGGAAACAAGAAAAGAAGGTTAGCATGCAGGAAGGTGTACAAGGTGCACATGGAAGTTCATGGAAGAAGGAGAACTGGGCAAAAAACAAGGATAGGACTCCCCTCATTGGCCAGGTGTGAGGAAGGTATGCGGCTGTTGTCTCCCGTGCTGTCATGGACGCAGGATGCGTTTGGATCTTGGGGGATCGGCGCGAGGACATTCACTGGACCTTCATCGTGGCCTTCACTTTGCGCAACATGTGGTTGGGTATGAACACGCTCCTGTTGTGATTGTGTGAATGGATGAGATCGTGATCGACTAAATCACTTACCTAGTTTCTGGTTTCAGAAGGATAACCCAAAGTGTAGATACGGGATGTTGCAGAGATGTCTTCCCTGTTGTGGAGTACAACTAGGGTGACTTGGTGTTTCATGCCACTTTGCAAGTACGTCAGGAGGCTGGCTGCCCGCGAGGAGGTCCACTGAAAAGTGGATAAGAAATCGTTGAGACACGAAACAGAAGAGAAAATGTTGAAACACAGAAGGACCAGAGAAGGACCAGATTGAGATGCAAAAATGGTGCCAGTGGTGGGCCTGGCGAAACAATTGCTTGAACAATAGAAAAAGAATGCAACATTTAAGAGCAATGCAAAACACAACCTGTGTTGAAGAGGTGCTTTTCCCAAAAAGATCATGTCCAAAAACCAGCCACGGAATTGTAAAAGCATGTATATAGAACCTGGAGGGAATAAACTCTAGCATTTGCTGTGAAAATTGGCTGTTTCCGGTTTTTGCTGCCCTTGTTTTTGGCTCTCGTCCTGCTCATGCGAAACCCTTTCAACCTGGACCCTTGTAGAAACAGTAAAGGAGTAGTCATATAACCAAGCAGCAAAAAAATAAACAATAAGCAGAGCAAATTGAAAACGTGAAAAAGAAAGAAAAAAGGCAAAACTGGAAAAGCAAAACGCGGGAAAGGAGCAGTAGCAAATCCTTGCAATTTGACACACCTGCTTTATAGCCTTAGAAAGTTGATAAGACAGCACCAACTTGAGGAATTGTTTCTATTCAAGGATACTCTTCTTCACCTCTGCCTTCCACATTTTTTCACAACTACTTACACGATCCAGAACAACTCAAACAACTCTTGCTCATCTGTTTACTGAGCACATAGCAGGCAGATTGCTGGCAGCTTCAGCTGTTGCCTTGCAAATGCCATAGGGACATAGTCATTGCTCATTACGTCTTGGACATCTGAGACTTGAGATGCCCTTCACTTCCTTGAAAATCCAGCAATTCCACTTTGGCAAAGCACTCCTGCCTCCATCTCTTCATCTTCTTCCGGAATTTGCTCGAGTTGCAGCTGGCAGATGGCACATGTGGCTCTGCGGACATCTCTCGGCAATCAGTGTGAATTCAAAATTTGTTGCCTCTGAGCACATCCTAATACATCAAGAACCTCACAGCGAACTCGTCATCTTTGAAACTGTGCATTTTGAAGCCATGAAACCCAGAAAGCCATGAAACCCAGTTGAAACCCAGTTGAAACCCGCCTTGGGAAAGATGTCCAAGTCAGGTACTGTGGAAGGAGCTTCGTCTGGAGCCAGGAGTTCACATAGACCTCCTGCACGATGTGGAGCCGCTGTGCTGTGAGCTGCCCGAGCGGCGTAACTGCTCTTGGATCTTTGTAACTTATTTGTAACTTAGGAATCCTCTTGTGATGTGTATATATATATATGTATATGTATATATATGATATGTATATATATGTATGTATATATATATGTATATATATATATATATGTATATGTGTATATGTGTGTATCTGTCTCCAAATGTGACAGAGACTCTTTGAATTCGGGGTGAAACCACAATTATCAAACCTGATCAAAGCGGTCCAGTGGGATCTCAAGATATCTCAAGATACCTCAAGTTATTTCAAGCGAAGTCAGAAGTGCTCCAGGCGGTCTTCGGTGTCCTGCATTCTCATCCTCTTTCAACCAGCTGTGCGCCAAGAGCTGCGCAGCGCTTGGCCGGTCTTCGGGTTTCTGGGCGTCGCAAGACATCAAAACATAGCAAAACGTGGCAAAAGGGACACAAAATCCAGATTGCAATTATCATATACATAACATATCATTCATATATATATATTCATATCATAGACATTCATATACTAACAGCCAGCTGAGCAAGCCCACCATCCGCGAACATTGCATGACAATGCCCCGCAGGAGCTCATCCTGACGCAACTGCCAGGAGAAAGATGGAGCTGCATGATACAATCATGATGCATAATGCACTATGAATTCCAAAGAATGAATTCAATGAATCCCCAAGACAGCGACCACTCTTTGACCCTTGACAGTCCTTGACACGCAGCAAGTTCCGCGGTCGTTCTCCTGCCATGACCTTCTTGTACACCTGACCTGAACAGCGACTGTCAAGAACATTTAAACAGGCGCAAGATGGCGCGAGGTTTTGCAAACGGTGTCATGCAGTGTCACTTTTCATATGAGTTCCTATGGGTCAGCCAGCATTGGCACAACTATGCACATGATGCCAGAAATCAATCGAAGCAATCGGCCTGCGGTCCTTAGTTAGCACAGTCACTATGGCACAGTATCTGTGGAAACAAACAAATACTGACCTCTGGGAAGCTAGGCAACAAACATACTCCCTAGCTACTCTGGAGGAAGCAGCATGGAGGAAGATAAGAAACAAAGGCAATAAACCTGCTGCCGTGCGTCTCACACTCACTCCAGGGTTGCTCTCGGCCAATCATCTCTAGCAACACCATCCCAAAGGCGTAGATATCTACAGCGGTGCCATACTTTTCCTGAGAACTAACACAAATATGTCCTTCATTGGGTGTCCCAGCAACTGGTAAAGCAGTCTCGAGTGACCGGCGTGTTTGAATAGATGACTCTTGCTTCAAAAGCAACTAAACTGCTATCTGAGCTGCATCATAGATTTCTGGTGCGATGAAGTCAATGGTACCCACAATAGACCTGCCAAAGTGTCTCACTAGAGGGCTCTACGTGTCAGCCAATGCGACTTGGCACTTTGCGGTGCAGCCATTTCTATATGACGCTTAAAAAACTCCCAGTATCACGCGACTTCTTCACTTTCAAGCCATCGATGTTGATCAGTTTCGAATTGGACAGCTTCACCAGTGTTTCAAGCTTGGGTCACAGTTCGTCTTCGCTCACCGTTGCAGTTGGTCAGCACTTTCTCTGCTCCAGTGCCTGGCACACGATGCCTTGAGCGTAGTGGAGAGGCCCAAATCTCCAATTACGATGTCTCCGCGGTTTCCTCAAACACTCAAAGGATCTCGAAGGAACTATTCTGCAGCACATCATCATCATCAAGAAGACACGCTGAGAAGTGCAGTAAAAAAATATCTCAACGACTCAACGGCATGCAGCCAAAGCGCCATTGATAAAGATGTTGTCGCATTTCAGATCTCTATGAATAACAGGGTCTGGACGGGTGTGTAGATAGTCTAGACCTGCGCTCGGAAAAACAATTCACCTTCGAAGCATGATTTGTAACTATCACAGGAATTCATGATTAAACAGTATAACATATATATTTACATGCTTCGTAGTAATATATATATATATACATATTACAGTATAGCCATGCTTGAACAAAACCCTGCCTTCCAGGATCTGGCGGCACCAGTTCTTGATAACCTTCTGTTTCAATGGTGCGTTGATCCTCTTGATGTACTGCAAAAGAGAACCGCCGGTGATCCGCTCTGTAATGAAACACACCTGGTGCGATGCAGTAACACAAACAACTCACTTCGCAACCAAACCAGAATCCGAATTGCGCATGTATATCACGGTGTCTAGGTATACACATGATTCGAAGTGTTGCTTGTCCTTGTATATATATATATATTATATTATATATATTATATATATATATTATATTATATATATAATGTACGTATGACATAGAACTTAACTTTATATCTAATACAGAATGACGCACTGAAACTCCAAACCATTATGCTACTTGGGGTTGTATAAAAACCCCGTATCTTTTTAAATTACCCAAAATCGCGTTATCGTTTTTTTTCCCTCTTATCGTTTTCTCAGGTGGTGAGCTCCCTGTAGACAAGAAGTGTGAATTTACCAGGCTTCCATAGGTGTGAAAGAATTGTTTGTGGAAGATCAAAACATATTGTCCTGTGTGCAATCTTCGACATGGATCATAATCGTGAAGCATCTCAGCACTTGACTAGTTTTCTGCAACTCTTTTTTTGGTCTGTGAGATTAGGGCAAGGAGTCCGGGACATTGCTTTTTTGCTTCTGAAATTGCACCAGGTCCGATTTCAGGATCTTTCAAAACTTGCTGCAGCAAGGCATAGACAGTCTTGGGTGGTAAAGACATGGCAGAAGCCAAGGTGAGGCAAAGCCGGTAAAGAGGAAAAGCTAAACAAGACTACCATGCCACACATTTCTGTTTTCAAAAAGCCTCGTGAAACCTGTCAAATGGGTAGTTGCTCACACGGCATGTTTTTTGCTACAATTCCTTATCGTTTTCGTTATCGTTTCGTTATCGTTTCGTTATCGTTTTGGTCCCCTCTGCACGTTCTCATTTTCGTAGTCCATGCAAACGACTGCGGGCAACAAAACACATGAGACTCAGCAAGTTGGTCCAATCCCATGGAGCTGCCAACGTTTATTCTCAATTGCAGGTATCGCTTTTGGGGGGAACCTATAGATACATAGTGTTTTGTGCAAGTTCCTGACACCCGAGAACTCTCCTTACAAAAGTAATATGCCAGATCGAGTTTTGACCGTAACTCATATCATGTATGTATAATATATGTTATTATATATTATAAATAAATAAATACATATATATATATTATATGAGCATCGTTATCGTTTTTTTTTCCTCTTATCGTTTTCTGGGCCGGCAACGTATTGGCAGTGTTAAAGTGCAAGTCAAGCTAAAATGCAATGCACGGGGTTATTATACTACCCCACTTGAGGCCAGCAGAAGGTACGAAAGCTAGCAGAACGGTACTACTGCTGTACCGGAGACCCCAAACCACGGCCCAGGGGGATTGAACCCGGGCCTAGGGGTGAGTTATGGTAACATTGAAAATTTCTAGGAATTCAACGGCCCTGGTGCCTGCCTATTCCTTGCTAAAGCAAGAGCAACTTCAGCTAGCCCAAGCTAGCTTTCGTGACAAGAGTGTCTTTGCCCGTTTCAGAGAAATACCCTCCATGCAGCATCCTGGAATCCAGGCCTGTTCTTTCTCTTTGTTCGTCCAGGCATTTATGAAGGCAATGATCTTCGGGTGCTTCAGAGTCTTCAGCATATTGATCTCTTCGGAAATTCGCTTCTTTGCCTTCCTCAGTTCAAAATAGGCAACTAAATAGCCCCCAAGCTATCAAACAGTTTCAGCTGTGCTAATGCTGCAAGTTGCAGGACAAATTCATGTTTGTGGTGCAGTGGTGACATACAGTGCAAAGCTTTCCTTTTTCGCTTGCACTCTTCATCCTGGCATTGTCCCTGTCAAACAATGACCCTTCAGGGTGCGTTGGAAATTGTACCGCAACCAGCAAAATTGATATTAAAGATTTCAAAACTGATGGTCATGATGAGGCAAGGGCACTTCCTAGCGTAGCATTTTGGAATTTTGCCAATATCTTTTTGTGCAAAAAGTCACATTTGCTTAAAGACTATGACTATTGCTCCCTTGCCCGTCACATGTCGACCATCACTCTTTCACTGTGACAAAAGTGCTTTGCTTGACTCGACTGCAGCATTGAAATGGTACGCAGTTATGGCAGTGCTGGTGGACTTTGCAATATGATGGATTGCTTCAGCTCTGGCATGAATCTTGGGAGATCTCCACGCATCTCGTCACCTGATATCACTTGTAGATCTTGCCCTCTACGACATTGACGCCACCCTTGTATTGCAGGTCCTTGCTTCGCCCTGCATGTAGACGGGCTTCCAAGTTCCCTGGCTTCCGACCAGTTATGCGCACTCCACCGAGGTTCCTGAGTGCAGGTGCAGGGTGGACTCAAAGTCTGAAAATTATAGAAAAAGAATATCATTCCTGTAGGTAGCATGCGTAGCAACATTATCTAGTATCTTCAAAACGTTTACAGTTTTACAGGCTTGAAATGGCTTGAAAGCTATTGAAAGTATCCCATCTTCAGCTTTGCTCATGCTCCCATGGAATTGCAGAATTGATTTTTGGATGGTTGCCGGTGCCTTAACAGCCTTGAAATATTAGGATGCTCCCTGCTAGACTGCTTTCTTTGTGCACATGGTGCATGGAATTCATGGGTAACTTGTTTCTCTCAAGTCCTTTTCAATAAAGTGATGAGACGGAGACTATATAATACCTTCTAGAATCTAAACCAATCTATAGGCAAAGTTTCCCTTCAAACAGATCCATCACAACCTTGTAGAACTTCAGCCTGGAATTGAAGATCTCTTCTCCATGCATGCTGACAGTCTCTGCCTTCGACTCTGCATACAGGTCATGGCGGGCCTTTGTCCACCGTTGCCATTGCTCACTCAGGTCTATGACCTGAATGTCGACAAAGCCGGCTTTCTGAAGGTCAAGCACATACTGTTCTGGAGTAGTCACTGTTGGTGCAGAAACAACATTTAAAAGCCCATCCTTTTCTTGGTCAGAAAAGGAAGCTCCGGGCTTCGCTGCAAAGTCTTCGATCAGAAAGGTGCCACCTTTCTTCGTGGCATCAAAGCAAGCCTTGAGTAAGGCTTCTCTGTCCGGGATGTGGAGAAAAACCAACAGAGACAAGAAATGGTCAAAGCTCTCCTCAGGGATTTCTTTGTTTTTGGACAAAGCAATGATGTCACCAATTTTGAACTGAACTTTCCCCACCAATTCAGGCACACGATCAGTAAGTATCTGCCCAGCTTTGCAAATATCTGCCTGCAGCTCCACTCCGGTCACTCTGCAGCCAGTCTTGCTTGCAATATACCTACCTGGCCCTCCAATGCCAGAGCCCACGTCCAAGCAGTGAACGGTCTCATCAATACCCAGCAGTTGGATGACATGATCATTTGCCTCAATACCACCATAGTGATACTGATCCAAGTGCCCCAATTCAGTCAAATCTGAGACGCTCAACGGGCCTGTCACGTCATGGGTTCAAAAGAAACAGCAAAAACAGCAAAGCTGGATATTCAATGCAGGAGCAGGCACAGTGATTCAAGTTACTATGCAAGAACATGCTAGGCTATAATCATATATATATAATTATATATTATGCATGAATTTTGACCGAACCATCAAGGTCGTCCTGTTTCTTTTCCCATCTTCTTCAAGGCGTTCTCCACTGCGGCCACCCTCCAGTTGTACATCGCCTCTGTCATGCCTCCTCTTTCAGAGGAGAGGTGCCGTACAACAGGTCCTCTTGGGACTCTAGGACGCATAGAAAGAGGTACGCCATGTCCACGCTCAATGCTCCGGCAACAAAGACGGCTCAGGCTCAAGCGGGACTTCATGGCGCAAGCACGCGCCACTGCGAAAGTCAGGTGTTACAAGCACCAACGCAGTTCGGTTCATTGCTATTGATAGCATGGATCATGGCAGGTGATGAAGCAAGAAACGTTTCTTTTGTGTACCCGGCTTTTCAGATTTGGTTTGGTCTTGTGTCAGTTGAGAAACCTATATGTTCAACTCACAGGCAAAACAGCTGCACAAAACCAGGCACGTTGAGCAGACTCTCTTCTGGGATCGCAATGGACGCTCGGCAAAGGAGTTGCAAGTTTACCTTCCTGCAGCACCTGAAATTGAAACTTGGGAGGCGGCTTGTCCAAGTTCTGGAATGAGATGATATTCCATGCAACTTCCATGCCTCAACCAGTGGCTGCACTTGATTACAGTCATCGACCTAAGAACTCAAGAAACCTCTTGTGCGGAAATAAGACCGAAAGACTTGAAAAGGTGGCAGAGGTTGAATCCTTTCTTTAGCCGGATCTCCTTGGGATTTGAATTCAAGCCTGCCAAAGTCTAGGGATTGTTGGTAAGTAGGTAGTAACTTTGTGTTTTTTCATTGCCAATTCACATCGTATAACCACTTTCTGGGTCAGGATGTCCCTTCCGATCCTGTGTCGTTGTCGAAGCCCAGGAAGACCACCTTGTACGAGCCAGAACCAAGCTTTCGATTGAAGCGAACAAAGCGCCCCAGGGGTGACCTTTCCATCACCTGCAACCAGGCGAGGACCCAAGGTACAGTTACTGCAGTTTCATCTTTTTTCCATGCCCAAAACTTCGAATTTATGCATCGCACAAATGATGGGTCAAGAAAAAACATGGAAAAATGTGCTGTGGGAATCAATAACAAAATACTCAGAGCATGCAAAACATATTACAGTATCAGTGGCAGTAGTAGCAGCGGCAACAGCAGCAGCAGTAGTAATGGCAGCATCAGCAGCCGTGGTTAAGGTTGTACTGAGTGGTTGTGGTTGTTGTTCTTGTCTTTCTTGTATTCATTGTTTTCTTGTTTTTCTTCTCATCATCGATCATCATCGTCGTTGTCTTCATCACCATCGCTGTTGCTGCTTTCTGCTTTCTGTTTGCTGTTTTTTAGATGTGTTTCGCCAGCCATTTTTGTTGTTGGGTTCTTGTTGTTGGAGTGGATGTTGCTGCAAGAGAAGAGTAAAGCAGCCACCATGGAGACAAGAACAAAAGAAGAAAAAGAAGAAGAAGAAGAAGAAGCCGCACAAAAAAGCAATGATGCTAGAATAAAACCAAAAAAAACAAAGCAAACTTGCAGCTCCAAAATGCCTGGGGCTGAGAATCTGTTTCCAGACCGGAAAAACACAATACTCAAAGCATATGCTCTCCAGGTTTTTACTACCAATGCGACGACTACTTCCACTTCCACTAGGACTGCCACTGCTGCTACTGCTTCTGCTGCTCCTGCTGCTGCTGCTGCTGCTGCTGCTGCTGCCGTGGCCGTGGCAACTAGGACTACAATTGCCACTACTGCTACCACGTGACCAACACAGAGCAGACGTGAGACCACAGAAGACTCAGGGATGAAGGTACGGACAGCAGGACCAACGGGGATCAAAGGGTCAGGGACTAGGCAGAAAGAAAAGCAGTGGTAGAGCATACCCCAATCCCACCGGGCACTCTGAATGCTTGACCTTTCTACAGTAAGTTGCCCTGGCCTCGTCTTTGCTCATGTTCTCCGGATAGTCAAAGGCTTGACTCGCTTCATTTCTTTCCTCTTCCTCTTCTGAAGTTTCCCCTCCTTGGTCTTCCTGACAATGACCCGAAACCATGCGAGGAAGGGCCACCCTTCAGTCAACTCGTCCAGCGCTTTCTGAAAATATGTGAAGAACATGTTCGTTTAGAGTTTGTGTGGGTCCGCCACGACACCTGCGTACCTTGAATGATTAATGGCAAGGACAAACAAGCGTCACAAACCTTCCCAAAAACAAACTAATTGCTCTCAGATTATTCTTGCCGATGCCTCTGCCTCTGGTTCTTCCCCTTCAAGTGTTTCATGCTCCTTGACATTTCAACATGGCAGCCAGTTTCATGCTCCTCGAAATTCCAACATGGCAACCAGCCAACCCTGTATAGGTCCTGAAAGATTCACAATATGCTAAGAGACGAACCCAAGAACCCCAGCCGCAGCAGCAGCAGCAGCAGCAACAGCAGTAGTCTCTTATTTGCCAAGAAACATTTCGATTTAGATTTAGAAAGGAACAGGAAAACATATCATGAGCTAAATAAATTCCTCTCCTTCAGTCGCGGGGTGGACTTGCTCTTTTTCTTCAAGGTTGCCTGGCATTTCAAAATGATTTCTCTACATGGTCTCGACATGCTGAAGCGCCTCAGTGACCAAGCGCTCCCAAAAATTGACGGCCTCTGGCAGTCCTCCGGTAGGCGCAGAGGCCTCACGTTGGCAACAAAGTGCAATGAAACAGTTTGAAACCACGTGCGAAATCAGCAGCAGTTTGAAGCTCCAGTTTCAGCCGGGAAAGAAATCAAGCATCGCTCTTCAATTCTGTCAATGAGTTTCGGTGCTTGAATATGATTGAATTTTACTTGAATCTTGGTGGCGCTACGTGATCTGGCTCTACAGTCTATCCATCATATGGATCCAAGTTTGATACGGAGCTTGCTGCACTTGCTGCGTTTGCTGCAGCTGGCGGAGTTTGGTGCTCTTTGGCCTTTCACATGTTTCGGAGGTTCAGTAGAGTTCGCCCAGCCACCTAGCCTTCTTTGCACTTCTTGCAGTTCCCCAGTAAAACCAAACGTCCACCCAGGCATAAGCAACCAAAATGCCGCGGCACTGCCAACCCGCCGAATGGACTAGCAAGACTCAGAGTCACAGTAGTTTCAACGCATTGGCAGTGATCAAATCCCCTGTCTTTAAAATGCGCAGCCTCCATACAGCTCTTCGGCTAATGGAAACTGTGAAACCATCCGTTCTTGCAGAGGGTCATGTCTTAACTATCATGAAACGAATTCCAGTGTTCATGGCAGCACGTGTATGTTTATGGATATGCATGTGTATATATAAAAAGGAAAGAGGCTTGAAGTTCCCCCGAACGCAATTGAAGTGGAGCTGGAGAAAGATTTGGAAATGTCATGTTTCACTGCGTTTTACAGCGTTTTGCGGTCTCCATGGAACACGATAACGCATTGAACGACGTCAACACACAGGACAACATAGCTGGGGTATGTTGTCCGCGGTTTTAACTAGTTTTAGGTTTTTCAAGTTTATTATTTGTGTTGTTTTCGTAGAAACCGGTAAAATTGCGTGTTGTTAAAATTTCAGTGTTGTCATGAACCCCATAAAAATGCCATAATCCCCAACAACCATGGGCGAAATGCACATCCCTTTTTCAACATAGCAACATGTTTTACATCTTCAACGTAAAAACATCTTCAACGTAGCAACATCCTCAACGTAACAACATCTTCAGCATAGCAACATCTTCAACATCTTCAACGTAAAAACATCTTCAACGTCACAACATCTTTAGCATAGCAACATCTTTAACGTAACAACATCTTCTGGTCACAACATCTTTCCTCTAACGCAGTTCAAAGCATGTTAATACACCCTCCCCCCACCCCCTTGAAAACATTGATAACGAGCTGCGCATCTCATGGCATCACCAAGGATGACACAACTCCACCTTGCCGCCACCTAGTGGCGGGCATCTGTGAGGCACCTGCGTATCCCAGCCATGTGCTCATCAATGGCAGTCGGCGGTCGGCCATGCAAACCGCTTCTGCAATGGGCAATCGGGTTGTCCGGGTCGTGCACTGGCAAAGCGATGGCATTCCCAACAAACATGAAACCAGCTAGGGATGATGTCCGCGCAGCACAAAGCGCAAGTAGCGCAGGGGTCAAGAACCCGGTCATGTATGCTAACACAAGCATCACTCAAGGCAGCCCCCATCATCAACGCCCTGCCATGGGCGTCACCATGTTTGAAAGCAACGCGCGCTCCATTGCAAACCATCTCATTGTAAGGAACAGAAACAAAAAAGGCAGTCTCTCCTTTTAGATGAAGCCATCCGAGACTACTCGCTGCGTCTCCAAGATTCTCTCACTGCGTGCATGCACATGTCAAGGTCATGCTCATCTTGGAATTGCGTCCAATTCATGACGCCGCACTTTGGATGGCGCCAATGCCAGTCATTTGCGACCTGCCATCCCCACTGTTTCAAGGTGTGGCAGTCTCTATGGCACCAGGTTCCTTGAACCCTGCTCCAGCAGAAAATGCTTTGAAGGAGGAATTTGGCTTTAAGTAAATTGGCAATAGCGTTCAACTGACCCTTTGTCACTGGGCATATGGCATGACCAAACAGAATACGAACCAAAGGCAATGGCGAATGGCTGACCACACAACCGAAAAAACCGTTCACCTGGTTGTAGGAGCCACAAGCCCCAGCTAGAAACGGAAGTGGCAGGGCAGGGGAAAGAACTTTTTAATTTACGGGTCGCAAAGATGCACAGCAGTCTCTTGCCTGCGCTTTTTCTGGGTGGGCCGTTGGGCCGACCGTCTGTGAACACAAAAATCGATCCCCAAAATTCTTGCAGAGGAAACTATGAACGGGGAAATGTCCGGACAATTTTGTGCTGCTTGTCGCTTGCTTTTGACGCGTACCAATTGTTTTTTGGATATCTTCTTTCAAACCCACTGCTTCAGCAATTTGGCGCCACTGTAGAATGGCTTCTTGCGTCTACGCAAGAGTTCTGCATAAAAACGTTCTGTCATCAAGGACATGATAGATTTGGGCCAAAAAAAACCTGCACTACGCATGGCACCTTGATGCGCTCTGAACAGGCCAGACATCACTGCATTTAAGGCTAAGGGAGCGAGGCCATCTCCCTGAGGCATGAAGGACCCCACACGGATTGGTTTTGACAAAGTGGTATCAAACAACTGTAACCATCTCCGCTGGTGGCACCATATGGAGTCAATCGCCGAAGCCCAAGCATCTGGGAAACCCAATTTCCTTAACACTTCACAAGCGAAACGTGGGCTGACGAAATCAAAACATTTTTGCATGTCCAAGGAAATTCGAAAATCGTTCTGGCAAAACTCACTGTCAAGGCATGCGACAGCAGTATGGACACCTTTGTGTTGGACGCCGCCATTGAACTCAGCGGGGGAGCCTCGTTTCCATCCAGGCTTGGTGTCTCTGTGGGGAGCTATGCTGGCTGGATTGAAATGGGCCGGAGGGCAGCAGCGGCTATGGCATTGCATTTGATTTCGCAACCTTCTTTCGGGATGTTGACCTGTCGAACACCGCGAAAAACACTGGGCAAACACCCCATATCAAGCCAATGATTAACTAACACGGAAGGACTTCCAAACGCTCATGGGCCAAGCGTTTGTTTCACCGGGGCCCCCATGAAGGCCGGTAACATAAATCAAAAGCTTGGAGCCTTGGTTTCGATTGGGCTGTGTGCTGCGTAAGCATCTCACTTCCCCATGTGTTCATGGCTTCAGCTACCCTCCGGTCCTAGCGTTGCCAGACCTGATCCCAGAAATTCGCCAGGAAGGACAACGCCTCATATCTGCAATCACTTGATTTCTGCGTAGTTTCATCAGCAATTGCTGAAAACTGAAGCTGGGTCGAGGCAAGGATCCAGCTGCTCAAGGCACTGTTATCATTGACCATTTTTCCCGCCAGGCATGCATGGCTTGCTGCTTTTCCTCGTGG